GAGAAGAGAGAGAGAGAGAGAGCATAAAGTGTGAGGATAGTAAGAGTTAGAGACAAAGAAAAGAGTGGAAAGGGTGTTCTTCATTGTTATGTGTGGGTTGTAGAAGTTTGGGCCCCTTGCATGCGAGCCGATTAGCATCCTGGTTCTTCCTCCACCAAATATGCGGGAATATAGTTGTTGGAAATGCCTGTGATTCTGAATCATTCTAGGATTGATTCAGAATCACAGAATCGTGGGTGTCAGATGATTCCTATGTTTGGAATCATCGTCCGTATAATGCAAACCACCTATAGTGTGATTCCACCATATCAGTAACATGACCCAATAAAATAGCAATTGTGTTTTCTATTGTGTTGGAATTGGTATGCCATCATTGTGGAATCGAGTTTCCTACCTTTTTGGAATCGCACATTATCCACCCGATGAATGCCAACTAGAATCGCTATCTGACAAAGCTAGAATCGTGATTCCTATATTGTTAAAATCGTTGTTTCATTGATTTGGAATCAAGATTCCTACCTTTCAAGAATTGTGCACCAATCCCTCAGGTCCATGCCAGAATTGATAAGTGTTAAAAGATTTAAATTTTTACATTATTTGCAAACTTGAATTTTGGACTCCATCTATTGTGTACAATTATCTAGGTCTCCTATATTATTCGAGTGGTTGTTTTTGACAACCCTCCTCTAACAATGGACTCGGTCTATCGCCCTTTAATGCAATTCTCCACACAACTAATGAAAACAAGTTCGAGGTCCCTTTAACTACTTTCTTGGAGTTTCTAGAATGAATAAATAAAATAGAAATTTTGAATCTTTATTAAATGTAGATTTTTTTTTAGAAAATGTTAACTTCATAAAAGTAGGAAAATTATAGAGGCAGCCCACATTTTTTTTTTGATAGAAGTTGACTTAATATTAAATAAAAGGAGTTACATCGGTACAGTGAGGTCCACCACGCGTGAACCTCATCTTTGTCATGGTCCCTGAGTGGAGGACCAGACTGGACAGACACAACCACTGAGAGGGGCTTATAGATATGCCCAGTTACAAAAGCGGATAAAAGGAAATCATAGAATCTCAGTTACAAAAGCAGACAAAAGGACAACCAAGTAGGGCTTATAGTATTTGCCCTTTACACGAACTATTACGAATCAGACGAAAGAGAAGTGCGTGGTGGCTTATAATTTTGCCCTTTCACCCATACTGACTGCTTCCATTTAGGTGTGTTGCCGGGCAGCTTCTTTAGCGAGTGCATTTGCGGTCCTTCGGGTGTGCTTCCAGGTGACTTCCAAGTCCCTGCATAAGTGTCCAATTTCATCAAAAATATGTCTCAAATACCAAGGTGGATCACTTATCCCAGAACCCTAGTTAATAATGTTTTTGGCATCTCCTTCAATCTGTAGTATTCTTCCCCAAGAGTGGTTAAAATACTTGATTCCAATTAGTAGGGCTTTGGCTTCTGCTGTATGTGAGTCGTTAATTCCTATGTATTCTGAATAGGTGAGAAGGACTCGTCCTTCATGATTTCTATACACCCCCCCTACGCCTGCCGAACCAGGGCTTCCCAGAGAGCTTCCATCGAAGTTGAGCTTTAATTGATCCTCTGAAGGAGGAGTCCATTGAGGGGTACTTAGACTCTTGCGATGACTGAAGTTAAGGAGATTTTCCCATTCACGCATAAAGGAAGAGGTAGAGATACCCACAAAAAGTTTATGGTGGGATGCCCAAAAAATAACAGAGGACGTTATTTTTTGGAACGTGGTCTGGAAAGTATTCTTAACTCCTCGACAGATCCTAGAGTTCATTTCCCCCCATATGTGCCAAAGGGTAGCAACAACAGAGGCTTTCCATAGAATTTTCCCCGATTTCCTAAACCTGTCCTCAAAGGTCTGTGTTAACAAAGCTTGGATTGAAGGTGGAAGAACCCACGAAAGTCTAAATAATTGAATGAGTAGACTCCAAATTGAGTATGCGAAGTCGCGGTGTAATAATAGATGTGATACTGTTTCTTCTTCTTTAAGGCACATTATTCATCTGTCAGGGAATTGAAGTCCTCTTTTCTGAAGGCTGTTTATGGTTAGGGGCCTACCCAGAGTCGCTAACCACTGAAAGAGCTGAGTCCTGGGTGGGGCTATAGACTCCCATGCTCTATTTGATAGGTCAACTATGTCTGTCCCATCTACCAAGACCCTATAGAAGGAGGCTATTGTGAACCTCCTTGAGGGTGATGGGGTCCAAATCATGGAGTCCGTCCTTGACTGTGGTAAGAAAACTCCATGGAGTTCAGAGCTGAGTGTAGCAAATTGAAGGAGTTCTTCATCAGACAGAGACCTTCTAAAAGATGGGTTCCACGTCCTACTGTTGCTAGAGAGAGTCATTTCGTTCACTATCATTGACTCTTTACAGTTGGAGATGGCAAAAAGGAGGGGGAATCTATCTTTTAGTGGTGAACAGCAAATCCACAAATCCTCCCAAAATCTCACTCTATTTCCTCCTCTTGCATGAAAGCGAATATTAGATCTGAACCGGGGGAGGATGGATACTAGAGTTTTCCAGATACCTGATCTTGTGGAGTAGTAGTTGGTCTCTGGTAGCCACATTTGTGAGGAGCGTCCAAAGTTGGTTCTCATATTTGCTAGCCTCTACCACTATTTCCCCAAAAGTGCCCAATTCTGATTCCTTAGGTCTCTTATACGCAAACCTCCCTTCTTATGTGTGCAGATCTTGTTCCTAGATACTAAGTGGAATTTTTATGTTTCTGCTGTACCCGACCATGAGAAATTCCTCATAAGCTGTTCTATCCTTCTAGAGACTGAAGTTGGAATTTGAAAGAGCGACATGAAGTAAGTCGGGGTATTGTCAAGGGAAGCTTTGATGAGAGTACTTCTGCCAGCCATAGACAAATACTGGCCTTTCCAACCTGCCAGTGTTCTGTCTATTTTATCAATGACATGGGCCCACAACTGCTTATTGGGTTTTCCAAGATCGAGGGGCAGCCATAGGTAGAAGGTTGGGATTTCTTCCACTGCGCACTCCCAATCCGGGATAAAGTTCCTGGTTAGGGAGGGATTAAGACCAACTCCAATCATTTTAGATTTTGCCATATTGACGTTAAGGCCGGTGGCCAACTCAAAGCAAGGAAGGAAGATTTTTAGGTTCTGGACTTTGATCTTATTTGCATCAAGGAATTCCAAGGTGTCATCTGCATATTGCAAGTGTGACACACTTGGGCTTGTTCTACTTGTTTTGAATCCAGAAAGTAAACCAGCCTGGAATATCCTTGAGATTGATTAGCTGAAGACCTCTCCCACTATGGTCAAAAGGAAAGGGGAGAGGGGGTCTCCTTGTCTTAGACCCCTGTACGAAGGGAAGAAGCCCTTAGAAGAACCGTTAACTAAGACAAAGATATAAGGAGTAGAGTAGCAACCTCTCATCGCCGAATCCCATTCTGGATAGGGTTTGTTCTAGAATTGTAAAATCGACGTGGTCATGCGCCTTTTCCCAGTCGATTTGAAGATAAGTCCTTGCTTTTTTTGTGTAAAGCGGGAGTGAATACATTCGTGAGTTACGAGGACTCCATCCAGTATTTGTTTGTTCTTTATGAACGCTGACTGAGATGGGGATATGACCAAATTGAGGACCTTTTTGATCGTGAAAGCCATGACTTTGGAAAGGATCTTGTATGACGAATTGAGGAGGCTGATATGACGAAAGCCTTTAATATCTTGTGCTCCTTCTAACTTTGGCACCATCACTAAGAAGGTTGCATTCAAGGCCTTATTAAGTTTTCCACGCCTATGGAATTCCTCAAAGAACAGATTG